CGATCGAGCGAGTTCATATGATGTTAAATGCTTGTAAATTAAAAATTTTTATGTAAGTACTTAGCAGGCAAATATTTTTAGCGGTCGTAAAATTCTTGTTTTTGGCAATTTTCTACAGTGTGTATATTTCGAAGTTTAGACGAATTGAAGGAAATGCGACGGTTGAAGATCTAGAAATGCTCAAATTTTTTGAAGTAGAATACGTGGAGGCTAAAGTGCTCTAGCAACTTATGTTGTGCAGATATAACTTTAATTTTCGGGATATATGTTTCTTGGAGCAATTCAAATATTATTGTGTACAAATTTTTTGCGAATTCGACAAAAATTTAGCGTATTAAGGCATTTTGAAATTGAGAATTTTGGTATATGGGAAGTATTGGTTGATATTTTCTAAGTATATTTATTTTATTCAAATATATGGGCATAAATGATTTTCCATACAAAATCACTTCGTCATCATTAGCAAACACGTGCATGTGTAAAAACAGTTGGGTGCTGGCAGAGACAAAAGGAGACCAAAAACTAGATTGCGCAGGTGGGAGGAAATATCCTGCAACAAGTCTTGCGACTAATCTCTAAAGAGAGTATTCAGGGATTAATCTTAATCGGGTACAATTGGGCATTAATTAGTCACAACTAGTCTCAAACGGGTATTATGTGAGATTATTTAGTCTCGCCTCATCCCTTACGGGCACTCAGAAAAAAGCATGTCCGTAAAACAAGAAAACAGTATCCTCATTTTAGAGTTATTGTTTTTTCTTTAGTATTACGAAAGCTTTACTTAATTTGACCAGTTGGAGGTGGTTAGAGTAAGGTAAGTCAATTATTTAAATTTAAATATAAAAATTGTAAAATAAAAAAAAATTAGATAATTTTTTTAATACAATTCAAAAAATTACAATAAAAAAATAAAAAAAAATGCCTGCTCTGGGACTCGAACCTTGCATCTCTCGACTAGCTAGAGCTTTGCTCCGTCGGCCATTGCTACTGTTTGAGCGCGACGAGCAAAATGACATACTTATTCCTTTCACGAGGGATGAAATGGCAAGTAAAATTTTCCTAAAAACTAAGGAATTGTGTTTTATTTAAACTGAGTCAAATCTTTTACTGATATTAAGGCAGCCATGTCATTGGAGCTATTTCAAGGTAATATTTCCTTAGAATAATATACTTTTTTCCTAGCATTAAGGAATGTTTTTTCTAAGTGGGCTTAGTTGGAGATCAATTAGTCCCCGACTCATCTCCAACGGGTACAATTAACGATTTAATGATATCTACGTACTTAGACAATGAAATTTCATGTGCGCCGCTGGCATAAAGAGAGAGTATTCGCTTAACAAATCTGGGCACCCTGGTTCGAATCGCGGAAGGTGCAAATCTTTTATTTTTATTTTTATCAGTGACTATTCGCTTTTATACTCGCTCGGGTATAAAGGGGAACAATTAGTCTCTTCATAGGACATGCTCGAGCAAAAGCGCACAGTTCATTCCATACAAAGAGACCAAAAGTGGTATTAGTCGCATGTTCCTTTGCGATTGCTCCCGGAGTCATCCCGGATTAGTTGCATTTTATGCAGGGCACGCACAGCGGTGACAACACATACATACACACATACATGCTATGACATAACGCACTAATCGCGCGCTGTGATGTTGATTGAAACTCAACTTTTGAAAACTCAATTACGTGTGTGGCTGCAGCTGAGTGTGCAAAGACGCTTGATACAATTGGATGCGGCCAAGCGGGTCCGGGTTCAACTTCCATCAGACGCAAGATAAAATTGATTTTTATACCCGAGCGCACTTGTGCACAAGGGTATATTAATTTTGTTCACATAACGGTTGTTTGTAACAGCCAAAACGAATCGAGATAGATATAGACAAATGTATACATAAATGATCAG